AACAACATGCCAGCAGCAAAAACTGTCCTTCCTTGTGTGGAGAAAAATTTAAGTTAAATTGATTTCTACTTCTTTAGACAGTGTAGTGTTGTTGGATGGTTTCAATATCTAGTCCCTTTAGCTTGACAACTGATTCAACATGTCCCTTAAGTGTGTGGAGCTCCCTCAGCCTTGCAACTTCAGCACGACGTTTAGCTTGTTCAGCAATCTCAGACAGTTCCCTGTAGTTCTTGTCGTTGAATAGGCCAGCGGCTTCAGGTGTCTGGAGACCATGAAGTGTACGTTGAGCTAGAGCCCATTGTGCTTCTCTCTCACCCCTTCCATAGTCCTTCTTGGTTGTGAAGGCAGTCTAAGGTATTCGACAAACATAAATACTAATTAGTTAAGAATTAAATTCAATGAATTTTTCTACATGTCATGGTAACTTGTTGCTTGTGTTTACCTTGTTTTGGATCATTGTGTCCCATGCCCTTCCACTCAAGCCGAAACGGATGATGAATTTAAGAACATCTTGAGGTAAATAGGTAATAATAGTGTAGACCCAGATGACTGCTGCCCATCCCCAGCCAACTCCCTTGATCCTGGCGAATTCCCAGTCTGCATATACAGCAAGCACTGTTGCAACCTGAAAGTTATGAATTTTGGTTAGCTGTATATTCAATAGGAGTACTTTTAAGTCGAATAATTCATTCAGGTTGTCGTATTACAATACTCACCAATTGGGCTGCAAAGAAAGCTCCTACGAGCATAAGGCCAGGGCGTTCCACAAAAGACCAGCTTCGTGACCTGGTAACGAAGATGAGAGCTTGACTGATGATACTCACTTGAAGGTAAAGTGCAGCTGTAAGCTCATATGGAGAGTTTCTGATTGATCGAACATGGAAGTTTTCCTACATGAATATGACGATTTTGTTAGTGTATTTTCATTTTGTGTTTCATGTTAGGGGGAGAATCTTAATACTTACAGTGAAGAAATCAGTGTCAGCTGCAAGGTAGAAGAACACAACAGTCATGACAGCTTGGTAGGTTCCGAGGACAACACCAGTGGCGAAGATTTCATTGAGTTTCCATGAGTCGGGCAATGGAGATGGCACAACCCTGTCCTTGGAGATGGTCATGATGGTTCCATCATTGAGTATGGCAATGATAAGGACCATGAAGGGAGAGAAGTCGAACTTCCAGATAAGGGCAATGAGCATGAATCCCATCACAACACGAATTGTGATGGAAACTGCATAGATTGTGTAGTTCTTCATCCTTTGGAAGATGGCTCTGCTTGTCAACACAGCGCTCACAATGACACTAAGACCTGGCTCAGTCAAGACAATATCAGATGCACTTCTAGCAGCGTCTGTTGCATCATCCACAGCAATACCAATGTCTGCCTTCTTGAGTGCTGGTGCATCATTCACTCCATCTCCTGTCATACCACAGATGTGTTTCCTATCTTGGAGCTTCTTCACGATCTCGTATTTATGCTCTGGGAAGACTCCAGCAAAACCATCTGCCTTTTCAATTAGCTCATCGACAGGAATTGTAGCAATAGCTGCATCCTTGTGCTCTCCAAGAAGAGCTGAAGAAGGATACATGTTGGTTCCCATGCCAAGCCTACGCGCAGTTTCCTTACCGATGGCAAGCTGGTCACCAGTGATCATCTTGACAGCAACACCAAGTTCAAGAGCTTTGCGGATAGTTTCAGCACTGTCGTGCCTTGGGGGATCAAAAAGGGGCAAAAGACCAACAAATTCCCAAGGTGAGCCTTCACTTTCCTTGCTCTTCTCAGGTACAGTCTGCATAAATTCCACGTAATCATAGTTAATTCACAACAATCATTGATATGTTGAATTGATCCAAACAAGTTAATTGCTTACCTGTCTTGCCAAACCCAAGGAACGAAGGCCACGGTTGGCATAGTCGTCAATGATATCTAAGGCCTTCTTCCTGACATCTCCCTTGAGATCGCAAAGTTCAATAATCTGGCGAAAAATGGCATGTGAGATGACATGCACTGAAAATACATAAAGTAAAGGGAAATATAGAAGCACAATCTCACTTGTTCGGGAGCTCCTTTGCTAGCCCTGTGCCAGTTTCCTTTGTCATCAATATAGGTAATGGCTGTGCGTTTTTCAACTGGATTGAAAGGCAAGAAGTGAACCTCTTGGATGCCTGCTCTTGCCTGCAATGTGACAAAGAAACATAAATGGTCAGTTTACAACTTCTTGGAATAGTGAAAAATGTACTAAACCCACCTAACAACAAAACATATTACCT